AGCTTTTGAAAGTTTCTACTTAGTCAGCTGTACTGACTTTGTCAGTGAAGAGCTGGCATCCTGCTTTCCTAGAATTAAAGTAGGATTTCAAAAAGTCTAGAGCTGAAAAAAAAAAGCTGTGTTTAACAACAAAAAAATTGTCTCCAATGACCATCAATTTTTTTTTCTAATGCTATTTTCTTGTAAAGTACTGGGTTTTTTTGTCAGTTTTCTGCTTCAGAAGTGTATAGATAACATATTTCCAGTGATTTCTGGAATCTTAGTAATCAGACATCTACTTCTAACTTTTTATGATTGTATAGGAGGTACAAATCAAAGACAAAGCAGAATCTAATATCATAATTTAATATGGCTACCTTATTTTTAATGAAGCATTAAGAATGAAGAATTGACCAGGCTAATTCATTGACATAGGGACACTAAAATTCAGTAGCCTGTATTTCCAGACTGGTGGATTCTTCTGTATCTTACCCCTCACAAAAGTCTATCAGATACTGTCTCTGAACTTTGGGATTGTCAATAAATTCAGTTAAACACTCAAGTCTGCTTAGATTTGCTTGAAAAACATGCATAAACCTGCTAGTATTCAAAGACTAAGGCTGTATATAAAAAGTTTTTCACAACTTTACCCAAGTTCACCACTCAAATACAGTCAAGTTAATTAATTGCAGTTTCAAAACTGCATACTTAGACTTCGGTGCAGTTTTTTCCACAGGTGACTAGATGTGTATGTATTATTTTGTAAAGCAAAAAGAAAATGAAAGAGCAAATTCTTCACAAGATGTACATCTATGTAAGTCCATAACCTGGACTATGGAGTTCTTGGAGAGTTTGCTGTCATGTATTATGGCAAATTTACAGCCACAATACTGACAGTACATAAATAGCTACTTTATTGCAATAAATTCCATGTGAAAACCTGAGATTTCTTGGTTGTAGATGACAAAGTGGTGCCTGTTGCAGTGTTATTTTTAGAATATGCTTCACTGCATTTATTGCACATTTCAGGACACATCCTTGTGGTAAAAGCTGGTACAAGGAATCTTTTGCACATCCAAAATAATATATACATTAAAGCTGTAATTAGTACACCTTATAATAATAAGAAAATCATCCCTCATTTACAGGTGCCTGAATTTGAGACACATTTCTTCGTTGAGCTGTATGCTGTAACCACAGGAGCTGCTCTGAACAGCAGTGCCAGGTTTGCTTTTGTGACAGTCCTTGAAAGTGATGCTCCTCATGGTTTAGTGTATTTTGCTGTGGGATCTCGTTTTGCTGTGGCTCATAAGAAGACAACTTTAATCAGCCTGCAAGTGCTTAGAGATTCTAGTACATCAGTAACCACAATGGTTAGATACAGCATGCAGGTAAGGCTTATTTTTATTATTTAACTTAATTTTATTATAATTTTTATCATTAAATCATTGTTCATTCTCCAACGTAAATGTGAAATGTAATTAGCATTTTTTTTCAGGAAAGTATCAAACATTTTCTATGCCCATAGGATCTAGCTTCTTGGGTTTCCCATTAACAAAAAGACCTTCACTGCATTGTTGAGAGTGATATTGTTCATAGTACCTTCCAGTAGCCTCAAAGACCATGGTTAGTCAGGCATTAAATACATTTCTTTCATCATTCACAGATTCTTAGGAGACTCCAAATTTTGAGGCTTCTTTGTCTGAAATCAAGTTCTTATCATGATGGGTATGACTACAAAATTCAGATATCAACACGCTTCTGTGTTAGGTCACAGCTTTACTCAGACACAGAGCACATTTAGGAAAAGAATGAGAAAATTTTCATCAAATTTTATTCCACGTTCTGGAAGCAGTAAATTTGAAAATTGTTCTTCCAGTTGAAAATCAGGTGTTAAAGTCAATTTTACCATCCCTGTTCATGTTTGTGATCTTTATAGCTGTAACACCAGACAGTTCTAACTCTTGACCCTTTTATCTCTAAACGAGTACCTCGTTATTGTGGCCAGATGATGAAGATTCTCCTTTAGCAGAAGTAACACAGCTGTAAAAACATGATTCCTTCCACTTCCTCATTGTTATGAATCCAACATCAGGGCACAGGCTGCAAGAGAGATGCCTCCAAGCTTGCCCTTGCATTGGAAAAGTGCTTTCCCTGCTCCACTCTGCATAATGTGGGATTTTATGCCTAAAAGCATCATTTCAGGAGAGGGTTATTAACAAAGCATCATGTGACTAGTGAACTCACCCTTTTATTATAAAAGTTTTACATTCTGTTGTTATATAGATGCATAATTATGTTAACTGCATAGGTTTACAGGGTGTTTCCATGTGTTTATTATACAGTAGCTGACCAATGTTAGATTGTGTGGTAACAAATTTTCCATTCTTTCCAGCCACTAGTTTGTTATAATTTATAAGTTAAATGAAAAAGAAATTCCTAACACCCAGTGTATATTTAGACTAAAACACAGGGAGCAATTTCTTATCCATTTGTATTTTGCTGTATATAACAAGCCTTCTTTGGATGATTTTAGGTGTTGAGGGTGCATGGCCAAGTGCCAAATTATTAGTGCTGTTGCTCTCTGTAAAACAAGAGGTTGTGAGAGGCAGGAAGTGTGAGGCACCAGCTGGAAACAGATGTTTATCTCATTCCTACAAAGGCTTCTTAAACACTCTTCTTGTCACTGGTGTTTTTATTACCACTTATTTTTCTGTTTCCTAATTCTCAGTTGGAAGGGATAAAAGGAAACTTCTCACTGGAATTTGCACAGATGATGTGATCATGTTCTGGTGCAATTTTGAACAGATACACACTGCATTGATTTACCAAATTCTCCTGTGAATGGAGAAAATGACTTCTAAATGAAATTTATTCCTCAAGTAAACTCTTCTAATAAAAGCTAAATGTTTTCAAAAGGGGTCTAGTATTTCACAAACACAAATCCTTGTTTTTTACAGTAAGAGAGTTTTATTTAAGTAAAACTTAAGATTGTATATTGACACCTATTAAATGGACACTATTGAAAAATCATACATTTGAATATTAGCCCAGAATGTTAGTTTCCACTCGAGGAAAGTTTATTATATTACCAGATATAATATCAAGGTTATGGCAAGAGACAAATAGAGCAAGAATGTGAAGAATGAAACAGTATCTGCAAACCTCATGGAAGGTAAAAATAGTGCTACTTCACAGGGAAGTGAGGCCACAGAGCATTCCTAGATAAGTTCCACTGCC